GTGTCAGCGCAGCAGGTCTCATTTGACAGAGGAAGAAATCGGCAAATCGGCCACCTTCTTTCACCGAATGTCCACCACACCTTTATGAGGTGGCGATTTCTATCTCCACTCAAAATCAGCTGGGGATGAGCCGTGGGTGAGTGCCTACGTGGCAGAGCTTCAATTCAGAACCCCAACTGTGGTGGTCTGAGGGTACGGAGTCGAAGCAAGCTCCGTGGTGTTGGGAGGGGTCTAGAGAAGTGAAAAATATATGCTCTCTCTTTTCCAAATGGGCTGACAAGGAAAACAACTAGGAGACTCAGTGGAGCTTGAGAGGATTAAGGAGGGCTGGGTGGGGCATGCAGAAGGTGCCAGCTGGAGTCATAGCTATAGCTCAGCCCTGTATCTCCTAAGCCGGTTATCTCCCAAGGCTTCCTCGGACTTCACTGGCTGGAAGTCACAAAGGTTTCCTTCCATCACTTCCATCTCAGACACTCTGACCCCACTTGCTTGCTGGGTGGGAGGGGCGGTCTGTCATGGACGCCCCACATGGATTCAGGGAGGGGAATAATACCCACCTACTCTTTCCTTGGCTTCTTAACCGCCATCACTATTGCTGAGCCTGCCTGAGCATTGCTACTTCCCCACCAAGGCCAGGAGTGGACCAGGGTCCAGGGCCAGGAGCTCAGACCCAGAGGCCGGTGGGGGCCTGAAGAGTATGCGCAGGAATGAATTCTGAGCAAGGCTGTTTCCTCTCTCTCTCTCATAATCTCTTTATTAAATGCCCTGTCAACAGTTTTTTAAATTGACATGTATTCACTGCAACCAATGAAACCGTTCCATAAGACACTCCCACCTGGCCCACAGCTCTTCAGGTGGTCAGTGTTAACTGTTTGTGGGTCACCTTTCACAGCTTTGTCTAGACTCATTATTAGGGACTGAATTGTGTCCTCCCCAGATTCAAATGTTGAAATCCTAACCCCCAGTGTGACTGTACTTGGTGATAATAAAGGTTAAGTGAGGTCATAAGAATGGAGCCTTACAGGAAAGAGGCCATGTGAGGACACAGCGAGAAGGCAGTGGTCACAGTCACAGCGGTCTCACCAGAAACTCCCTGACAGGATCTTCATGTTAAACTTTCGGCCTCCAGACCTGTGAGAGAATACATTCCTGATGTTTAGGCCACCCAGTCGGTGGTATTCTGTCAGGCAGCTCTAGATAACGCCTACACAGAGATCCATGCACAAGGAGGAGAGGGTGTTTTATTTGTTTACTTGAACAAAAATGGGATCATGCTAAGCACACTTTACTCCCAGATTAGCTGTTCTCATTAACATTACATAACGGCCACTTGGCTCCTTGCTCACATCCCACACTGGATTCTGCTAGGACATCCTGCAGGCCCTCCCATCAAAACCTGCCTGGACTCTGACCACTTTTCCCCACCCCTCCTTGGTGTTAGCTCCATTCTCTCTCTGTCTCTGTCACTGCAGCAGCCTCTTCACTCTTCTCTGCTTCCACCCTGGCCCCCAGTCTGTTCTCCTCATAGCAGCCAGAAGGATCATTTGAAAACCTAAGTCAGGTCATGCTGCTCCTCAGCTCAAAACCTTCCAATGGATTCCCATCTCAAGCAAAGTAAAAATCAAAATCCTCACCAACAGCAACAAGGCCCCAGCTCAGTGGTTGGCAAACTGCGGCTCGCGAGCCACATGTGGCTCTTTGGCCCCTTGAGTGTGGCTCTTCCACAAAATGCCACGTGTGGGCGCGCACGTACAGTGTGATTGAAACTTCATGGCCCGCGCGCGCGCGCGCGCACACACACACACACACACCAGCTCTATGGCTCTCCTCTCTGATTTTTCCTCCTACCCTGTCCCCGTGCCACTCTGGTCTCCTTGATCTTTAGATCCCACTCTGTCTCCCTGCCATGAAATTCATCTTCCTGCAGACAACAAGCATGAGCTATTTCTTCCATAACCGTTTAAAGATATTTCATGCACATAGAAGCATTTATCTGACTAGTCTTAAAAAATACACACAGCCCTAGCTGGTTTCGCCCTGTAGATAGAGCATTGGCCGGCAGACTGAAGGGTCCTGGGTTCAATTCCAGTCAAGGGCACATGCCTGGTTGCAGGTTTGATCCCCAGTAGGGGGCATGCAGAAGGCAGCCAATCAATGATCCTCTCTCTCCCTTCCTCTCTGAAATCAATTTAAAAAATATATATAATATGCAAATTAGGCCAGGATGCCATAATGGGTCACGACCAGACAGGAGGAGGTTGCCCGCAGGTGAGGCCTGAAGCGGAGACGGAGACATACACAGGGGGGCCTGCCCCAAGCTGGTGCGACAGCTCTGGTGGCCCAGAGTGGACACAAGCAGGGGGGCAGGAGGGGCCTGGGGCGGAAATCAAGCATGAGTCCCAGCAGCCTGCGGGGTGCTTCTTTGCACGGCGAGAGGCGGGGCTCCTCCTCATGTGATTTCAATTGCACACTGGGCCTTTAATATATCTACACTAATAAAAGAGAAAGATGCAAATTGACTGTACCGTCACGACACCCACCAGCCAATCAGGAGTGGGTATGCAAATTAACCCAACAAAGATGGTGGGTTAATTTGCATATGCAGGTGCTGAGCAGCCGGGGGCGGGGCGGGACACTTGCGTCATTGCCATGGCAATGACACAGGCGTTCCACACCGCCCCAGCCACTCCGGGCCTCTGGGCAGCGTGGGAAAGTGGAAAGGTGGCTCCGGGCCTGAACAAAGACAGAAAGGTGGCTCCGGGCGGGAGCAAAGGCAGTGCCGGCAGCCAGGGAAAGGAAGGCCCATTCTTGCACAAATTTTTGTGCATCGGGCCTCTAGTATATATATAAAACACACACACAAATAGGCCCTGGCTAGGTAGCTAGGTTGGTTAGAGCATTGTCCCAATACCCCAAGGCTGTATGTTTGATCCCTGTCAGGGTACATACACAAGAATAAACCAATGAATGTATAAATAAGTGGAACAACAAAGTGATGTCTCTCTCTCTATCTCTCTAATCAATAAATACAAATTAAAAAAAACAAAACCAAAAACCATAAATAATAACTATATATGGTGCCAGGTGGGTACTGGGAATATCAGGGGAACACTTCGTAAAATATATGATTATTTAACCACTATTCTGTACACCTGAAACCAATATAAAATAGTGTTTAAAGTCAACTATAATCGAAAAAAATACATAGGTACATGGTTATTCATTGCTACATTGTTTTAATTATAAATCATTGTC